TATTCCAAAAACCATGACAGTGGGGGGGTGATCTTCGCCAGCATTGTGAACTTCAGTGAGTTCTACGAGGAGAATTACGAAGGAGGCAAGGAATGTTACCGCGTCCTGAATGAACTGATTGGAGATTTTGATGAGCTGCTAAGCAAGTCCGATTACAACAATATTGAGAAAATCAAAACCATCGGGGCCACCTACATGGCTGCCTCTGGGCTGAATGCTTCCCAGTGCCAGGATAGCAGTAACCCTCATGCCCATCTGCAGACGCTCTTTGAATTTGCCAAAGAAATGATGCGTGTGGTGGATGACTTTAACAACAACATGCTGTGGTTCAATTTCAAGCTGAGGATCGGCTTTAATCACGGCCCCTTGACAGCTGGGGTCATCGGCACCACCAAGCTCTTGTACGACATCTGGGGGGACACTGTGAACATAGCAAGCCGGATGGACACCACGGGAGTTGAGTGCCGGATCCAGGTGAGCGAGGAGAGCTACCGCATTCTTCACAAAATGGGCTATGATTTTGATTATCGTGGGACAGTCAATGTGAAGGGCAAAGGCCAAATGAAGACTTTCCTCTATCCCAAATGCATGGACAGTGGGGTGGTGCCCCACCATCAGCTGTCTATCTCTCCAGACATTCGGGTTCAAGTGGATGGCAGTATTGGGCGATCTCCAACTGATGAGATCACCAACTTGGTGCCTTCTGTACAGAACTTGGACAAGATGCTCCCTGACACAGAGCTCAAAGATTTGCTTCCCCGCTTCAAGAAGTTTCCCAAAGAATTGATTAAATTAGACAGTCGCCCTCAGTTTGGTGCAGCAGGTGAGAAAGGTGATGGTGAGGAGGCTGGGCCAGAGGAGGCCAACGAACTGACCAAGCTGAACAGCTCCCGGAGCGTGTGATGCCCTTCGATTCTTCTCTGTGAGAAATCTGAGCTCTCTCCATCCGGCCTTTTCTCTTGCACGGAGGGGTGACAGGAAGTGGCACAGCTTGGCTCAGTTGCTTGGGCACCTGAATTGGAGAGGATCGTAGCCATGCCAGGCTCTGGCCTCTCTTTTTCACTTCCCTTAAAATGTTTATTTTTTTCCTGAGAGGAGACATCAAGTGCCTTCAGACAGACTCTGCTGGGCTCCTCTCTGGACTGAGGAGGAGTGGTATAGATTTGGGATTGGAACACATTTAAAGGACAAGCTGTGGTTACTTCATTTTTGCTTCTCATCAACAGCTTCCTTTGCACTTCCAAGAAGAGTGAATAAATAGGTGTGGGAGTGTGTACAGCACTCACATTTTATACTATGTAAACCCAGACAATTGCATGTTTGCCCACCTTCTGTGATCGAGACAAAGAACTGCTCAAAGGAGATACCGGGGGCCGGAAGGAATGAGAAGATTTCATTCGGAGTTCAACACTTACTAAAGAAGCAGTTGAGCTGCTGTTTGCCAAAATCAGATTCAAGTGCCATTGTGCTTTCTGGACTTGCCATTTCCCAGCAGATCAGAAGTGGGTGGGTAGTGTACAGCCCCTTTGCCCAGCCAGTCAGATGTGCTGGTGCCGCCAGTTTTGGCCTTGGCGATTCCTTTTGTCTTTGCCAATATAGAGGGTAGGTCGCAGGGCCTGACTTGGGCCTGCCCCGCATTATTTTCTGCTTTGGGGGCCCTGCTGGCATATTCTCATGTCAGCTTACCTGTCCACATGCAGGAGCCAACCTGTCCCTCAGCAGAATTGGCCCCAAAGGGGATGGAAACCCATCCAGTGGGATCTGAATTAACTCATGCAGTATTTGAGTCATGGCTGTTTGTGTGTCACAAGATGTCAAAACAAATGGGAGTAAGATAAGCCCTCAGCCACGTAGCCTTTTTCTGAAGAAATGATATACTCTCCTATTTGGCACAATATTCTGATTCCAGTATACTCTAGTGAAATATTGGCCCACCTAAGAAAAAGAAATCCAATCATAAATCTGTAATATTTATATGCAAAGATGAATAGGGACTTATCTACTTTTTTCCCAAGCTCAGATAACCTGAAAATGAAAATGCTTTCAGGGTTAGACAAACTTAGACTACTTTTAAAGTGTAGTCTTTTGGCACTTTTTCACCACCAGAATTGAAGCCTAAAAATGACACAGTTCCCTCTTTTTTTTTTTTTTTGGGGGGGGGGGGTCAGCTGACTCCATTATTGAATGCACCCCCAAAATTTGTGGCCCACCCCATTCTTCCTTTGAATGTAGTACCACCACAGCTGTGCCAAACAGCCCTACGGTGCAGAAGCTCCTTTTCCAGCATGGGCTGCAGGCCCAGCAATGCCGGCTGCCCTCCACGCTTTTCAGGGAGAAAAACTGGGCTGTGTGCTTTGCAAAGCACAATTACAAAGGCAACCTTTTGTTTCTGCCTAGCGTATTGTGGTTACATTCCTAAACACCAGGATTGGGAATTACCAACGGTATACGTGATAGGTTCTCTCTAGGAGTAGGCTGCACTCATTTGGATGCATCTTATTGCCTCCCTTTCAGTTGAGCTTCCAGAAAAACCGAGTGTCAATTTATATTCCCTATAAATAAATAATCTGAGGTCACCTTTTGAATCCTAGGTTCTGTTTTCCTTACGCTAAGTGGTTTGTGTTTAATGCCAAGCCTCAGCAGGCAGGCAGCTTCTAGAAAGAACTTTTTTGGGGTGGTGGCATTTTGCTTAAGGATCAAAAACAACCAGCAGTGCAAAGCCAGCTACAGTCCTTTGATTTCTTCCTGGGTTCTGCTCTCAGTATGGAGGAGATTGTTGATCATCTTGGGTTTCCTGCCAGAAGGGACCTGCAGAGTTAAATTCAACTTTTTCAGATAAGAGCAGCAGCACCACCTAGATTGCTGCGGAGAGTAGCTTTTTCCCATGTCAAAAATGCAAAAGTTCTGAGTATTTATTTTACTTACTTCAGTTCCAGACACCGATGGTCTTGGAGAGGGAAAGAGCTTGGCCATTTTATGGTGCTAAGGTCTGTCGTGTTCAGTCAAAGTAACCTGAAAAGTAAATTGAGGACGGAGTTGTGCACATCCTCTTGGAAGAATGCAGCACGCTTCCTTGAAGCTTTGATCCATGGCAAACAGGGTGGCTTGCTGGCCTAAGCCATCTTGGATCCCAGGAAGCCAAAGAAATAACTGCTTCAACCAAGGTTAGTGGGGTATTCCAATCCTTTCCCTGTCAGAAAGGTCCAGAAGACAAGCAGATTTCCACAGACAGTTTTGATTCTAAAAGATGTTCACGTTGCCACTATCTGCAGATAACTAGATGGAAAGATAACTTGGGAAAATGGAGTAACTGTTGAGCATTTCAAACATAGCAAAACAGCAACAAAAATTCTGAAAAAAAGAAAGGTTGTGGGTCCATCATGGTAGTTCAGAAGTTTTGGGTAAGTGCTTTGTTAAATGCATATGTAAATAATATGACTTCAGTACTGTGCAGTGTCCTGTATTTTTGGCTTAGAATATTCTGAGAGAACTTGATAATGCAGGCTGATAGAAGCACTGAGGAGAAGCAGCAATTTCCTGAAGGGTAGGAGGGACGGTGGGATGGCAAGAGCAGCCTGGGCTGTACTGTAAAGAGGCTTAAGGAGACATCAGGGCCCAATGTGGAAGAGGACCAGGAAGGAGCTCTGCCTTGCTTTGCTGAAAGTGGAGTTTCATTAGAATTCTTGGCACTTACTGAAGCTAGATTCAGTCAAATCAAGGAAGTGTCTGTTAAGGAGTGGATCAAAACTGCACCCTCTTCTGCAGAGATTAGTCTTTGCTTTTGACTTCCACAACAGTTTCCTCCTTTCCTGCCGTCTGGGACTTTCTGGTTTGCTCTCTAGTAAATCCTGGCAGGAATAAGTTTCTCCTTTTTCTGTATAGCTTGCATTTCCTACAGAGCATCTGCTACTTCTGTAGTGTGCAGGGATCACAATGGTGCCAATGGGGCATTGTTCCCATTTTACAGAAACAATACCTCTAGAATAGGCCACAGGACTACTGACCTCTGAGAAGCTCCTGAGCACTGGAGAATTTGAGCGCTGCCCAAATATATGTTGGTTCTTCACTACTGCTGCTCCACATAGCAGGGAGATTTGAGTGTCTGCTTTCTTAGATCTCAGAAGCAAGATACACCAGATCATCTTAATCTGGACAGGAACGTTTTATGCCTGATGGCTGGTTGGTGTCTGTTTTAGTTTTCCAGAGCTGTTCTCATCTTAGCAATAGGCCCTGGGAAATAGGAAGTGGTGCACCTCCTCCTCCTTTGTCTTAAGTTTGGGCTATGCAACACCCTTGCCTCTCCTCACCGTGCACAAGAATGGATCCTTTGTCACTGTTGCCTCACGTGCTGAAATGTTTAAGGGAAGAGCAAGAGATAAGCAATGAAACTTGAAGCCTCTTCATTGGCTTGAAATGTGTACGTGCTCAAACCATGTGCCTACATACAATGAACTGGATTGCGGGGTACTCGGGCCAATTTATTGTGTAAACACGATATAATTTATTAACTAATCTTCAGCTGGTTTTCAGGGTACGTGAGGTTCAGTAGTGCCCTATGAAGGCATCAGGGCTGTTGGGCTTCCCTTGAGCCAGGCTTTCTGAGGGAAGGCTCCTGAGCAACTGGGCTGGCTTTTAAAATCCATTCTTTGGCATGGCCTTGACTCCTCTCAAGCCACTCTTGTGCTGGGGTGGCCCTGAGGTGCCAGGGGTTAACTGGCTGGAAGCGGGAGTGTTGCCAGAAGTAGGAGCTGTAAATAGCTGCTGAGAATAGGCTTGGCTGACACCTGACAGCAAAGGTGAAATGCTGCAAGATGAATGAGGAAGAACGGTAGAAACCTTTCCTTGTTACTTAGGCAATGTAATCAACTCTCTATTAAAGTTTTTTCTGTATTGGATATGCAGGATCATTTGTTCGTTCATACACCAGATCCAGAGAGCCACCACACACAGCCCAATGTTTACCATCAGGTGACTGCAGTAGAAATCATGAAAAGGGTAAATAGTGTTCAAAGCCAGGAATTTATTCTTAGCACTAAGCAATCAATCTTGTCACAAAACTGGATCTTTCCAATCCTGTTCTCAACCATAATTCTTTGTTTCACCTGAGAAGTTTTAGTACTGCTATTGTTGGACATAGGGGGAAAAAAATAACCCTTGCTAGGCTATAAAAATACTTTAAGCCCTGTTAGTAAAAACCACTCATAATCTCTTCCCATTCTCAGTCTACTTCAGCAACATTTAGGGACCAAGAATGATCTCATGTGATGTTGGGGAAATGCATGTCAACAAAAGCTGAGGTTCAACTTCATATTCTGCAACCTCACTCTGAGCCTAACCTGAAACCAGAGTTGCTCCTACGACGGAAAACGCCAACTAAAATGCATACTGTGTGCAAGGCACCATCTCTGTTGCAAGCAGAGACGAGTTGTCTGCCAAAGAAATATTTATCTAGAAAAAATAAACTTGTGATCCTTCAAAACAGGTCCAGATCTTTTTTGGGGGGAGGGATGTATTAAGTTGTGCCCTCGTATCTCTCTGGCATTTAGGCAATGCTTGTGAAGGCTTAGCAAAAGCTCTGCCAAGGCCAAGTTACAAAAGTTGCCATGTTAAGCGAATAGGGCTGGGCCAACTCTGTTGAAGAGGCAAGGCAGAGATCCTCATTCTTTGCAGGACCAGCTCTTGGACCCTGTGCTCAAGCTACAGAAATGGCAGAAACGGGACACAGTGATAGTGGCAGTAATCCCAAAGGTCAGCTTCACAGTTTTTGTAGCGATTGGCCTGCCAGGCTTTCTTCATCTTCTTCCAAAGTCACATGGCAGCCTCCCCGGGCATCCTTTGTGCTAGCCAAGGGGGCACAAGTCAAAGAGGTTAATAGGCTAACGAGACAAAAAGAAATAATCTGGCTTTGTGTGTACTGTGTGACAAACAGTAAAGAGTAACCACAACCATGAGAATCTGGTACTTGCCAGCAGTCGATACGCCACAACTGGGAACATTTTAAGTAAGGCACTTGCTGTTCAAGGAGACCTAGGCCACTTTCTGCCTTCTGGCTTGGTTTCAGGAGATGCCTCCCAAGGATAGAAGGCAACCTTGTAAGAAATGCCAAGAAAGGTACCAAGCTTCTCTGCTCATTCCACTTTAGAAGCGGGGCAGCCCATGGCGGTTGAGCTCCTGGGCATGGGAGTTGCAGCTGGTCTTTCTCTTAGTCACATTTGGCTGCGACCCCAGCCCTCAGCCACTTGCAGCCACGGTAGCTATTGCGCAGGAGGGCCTTTGGGTTGGCCGCTGAAGGTGGCACTCCTACGGGCTTTGATGCCGTTAATTTCTACAGTGGCTGAAATACTTTCTCTGAAACTGCAGGGAAAATACATGATGTGCATGTTAGTGAAGCACGCACCCAAGGGTAAAAGGGAGCTGTGTGCTCCCTTGTCCTTAATGGCACCCACATTGGCCCTTCTTTTCTCCCCGCATCACCAAAGGCACCCCTAAGGCTCCCTGTGGAAGTTACAGACTACTCCCCTCCTCTCCAGCTTGTGAACCAGGCTGGGCTGCTGCATATCCTCTTTCCACATCACACATCCAAGCCTGCTCGAGTTCAGCCAAAGCCTCTTGTGAGAAGGAGAAGCAAAGAGAACTACAATCAACCTGCAGGTGACCGAAGTGCTTCTGATGGTCTCAGCAGCACCAACAGCCAGTTCATTCCCACCCAGAGTTCCCGCTCATGATTCCGGTTGGGAACTGGGTGCCAGTGGTGCAGGCTGCTCTCTCTTCTTGGGCAACCAATGGGCAGTAGAAGGCTGGCCACCCTGTTCTTTCCTCACTGTCTGGTTCTCCGCAATGGTCCTTTATCCTGAATGCAGGTTTTAGGACGAAGAGCTGGTGGGGAGAGAAGAGAAGAGTGCCCTCAGCTGTGATGTCTTTACCCATTTGAAGAAACTTCTAGCCATCGCAGGAAAGGCAACCAGACTGGCACCCCTTCCCATCCCTGCTAACCAAGGCAATGAGGGTGGACCAACCTGGATCAGCAGCTCCCTGTTGCTTCTTTCGGGAAGAGGATATAAGGTGCCTTTCATTCGTCAGCCGCACCTCCTGGTCTTCCATTTGGTTGCTGTTGAGCCAAAAGGATCAAAAAGGTCATTTTTTCTGAACATTCAAGAAAGGTCATTTTTGGAGTGGAACTATCTGCATACCGTATTTCCCTACCTATTTTGCTCTCAAATGACTGCCCTCCCTTCCCAGTGTGCTGATTTGATGGGGGCTGTATACCACTGTGGCTCTTGTCTCCCCTGGGGGCACCTACACCTCTGCACCCAGATCCTCGGTGGAAATCAGGAAAAGGAATATGGAGCTAAAAGAGCAGATGGGTTTGGCACAGGAACATTCTTGAGCCAAAGTATTATCTAGCACGGAAACCTCTCTTAATAGCAGCTCACATCAGATCATGCCTGTCAAATTACTTATCTATGGTTTGCTTTTATCTAATTGTCAGATGAATCATATGTCAGGCAGAATGTCTTTTTATGTTACTGATGTTTATTATTACTCAGGAATTGAAAGTAAGCTGAAAATGATCACCTGCTCCCTAGAGAAAAAGTTACAAATGTACCCACACACCTAACCATGGTGCTCCTCTCCTGCCTGCAGATCTTCTCGTCCTCTGTAAAGAGGAAGGTGTGATGGGGAACGACAGGCTCACAGGTAGGAAGAATGCCAGGGACCAGGTGGCTCACCAGGTCGAGAATGCCGTTGTATACCAGTAAATCATCCACAAGGAGCTGGGTCCCAAAAAGAGGAGGTAAAAAGCTGGACGGTTTCATCATGACACAAATGAATTTGCCCCTTCCGCAAGAGGCCAGAGGTGCGCTGAGTTCCCAACCCAGGCAGGTGGCTTGTACCCCAAAGGACCCCCAACTGCAGGCCCCAATTTTAAGCCCTGCTGCTTCATGTGTCCTCTCTCTCTCTCTGTCTCTCCTCTCTCTCTTTCTCTCTCCTGAATTAGAGGCTCAAGATGAGGTGGTTTCTAAGCAGGCACTTACTCCAAATTCCTTGACTCCTCGCTGTGGAGTTTTTGCATAATTCCATAGCTTGATCATGGAAATGGTAGTTGGCAAGTCAAAGATAATGTAAACTCGATTCACCTACCACCAGGAATGAAACAGAGAAGAAATTCTTTAACCAAGAGAAATAATCTCACTGAGGACTATTTTAACTCCGGTCAGAACTGTTTTGTACATGTTTGAAACTAAATCTGATAAACAGATTAAAGTTGGTCTGGGCTGTGAAACTGGATGTGGATCAGTGTTCTTCCTCCTCCCGTTAGTGAAAGAAAAAGAAAAATGAGGCTGCCCAGGACATCACCAGACTTGTTCTTTAACAAGTAACCAAGTGTGAGAGCGAGAGAAAACTTCTTTACTTAGAAAAAATCACATATCATACAGAAATACCAAAAGACAATAACGTGTGGATAATGGACATTGCAACACCTGGAAACAGTAGACTAGAAAAAAGAGAAAACCACAGAGTATAAATACCCACAAATAGAACTAAAACAACTGTGCCAAAAGAAAGCAAAGATAATATCAATAATGATGATTATCTTGGGACCAATTCCAGGACATCCGGAGCATCACTTGAACACTTGGCATTAACAAAATCAACTGCAGAAGGCAGCTTGACGTGGAACAGCTGACATCCTACCTGTGCTCACACCTTTAATACTTTCAAACAATATGCCAATCTCAAATTGTTGGGAAGGACTCAATAGGTGGACAAAAATGCCAAGTCCGGTCTAAACAACAGGCTGCCTATGCAACCAATCTCTTTTTCCTTGAAAGACCACCTGCTCCCAAAATCCCAAAAGTGGATATAGTAGTTTTTCAAGCCCTGAAATGCTTCTTCCACAAAACCCACAGGAAGCACCTAAATAAGGCAATTAGAGGCTCATCCATCAGCCGCTGGGGCAGCTGTTCGCCTGGCCTTTTGGACAGACTGTTAGGCAGTGCCTGTGACAGAATGCAAGAGGGAACCATACCAGCCCTGGCAGAATTGGTGCAAGCCACATGTGCCTTCCGTCATTGCTGTGATTCACACCGTCAATGAGCTTGTCTGGTGTTCGAATATCTCCACAGACTCCGTCCAGGACATTGACGCTGTCGGGAAAAGCTGCAATGTCTGAAAAAGGGCACCCATCAAGGAGAGCACCTGGCCTGGATGGTCTCCCCGCCCCATTGCAATGCAAGTCCTACAGCCTCTGAGGCTTCTGCAGGAGCAAACAAAGCTCGGGGTCCCGCTTGGCTCTCCTTCAACCTGAAGGGAAGCCTTGGAAGGCAGAGGAGGAAAAACTCCAGCCGCACCATAAAAGCATCACAGCAGGAGCAGCAGGCAGGCAGATCATGCTCCCCTGTTCCTACAAGAGCCCTGCCCGGGCCTGCTTTCTCTGGCTTGGCTGTGAGCTACAGGGGAAGGGAATGGTTCTGTCTACATGGCAGAAAGGATACTGTTCTGATTTAAAGGAATCTTCTCTCCGTGTTCATTATACAGCTCCAGCCCATTTAAACCAATGTAATATGGATCACCCCAACTCGTGAGTAGCTGGAACTGGAAAATGACTGATGGAGGTTATTGAGAAAACATGTCTTTGTTAAAATACTTCCGCCCGACTTTCATTCCTTGGGGACCCGCAGCAGGTGGCAAAAGCCCTAAGAACAAAAGCCAGCCTTGTGGAAAACGAAGGCCTGTGATGTCTGCAGTGAGGAGTATGGCAAGGAGGGACAGCTGGGCACTGACGGGCACACCCAGGGAAGCTGGGAATCAAGTGGGGCACCCCTTCTGGAGAGAGCCCCCGAGCCCCCAGTGTCATCCAGCCCAGAAGTACAACCGCCAAGGCCAAAGGCCAAAGGCTCCACAGAGAAGGATACATCCACAGGGCATCAGTGGTGCTTCGTACTCCATACTGCTTTGCTCCCTCTTCTTCACTTCACTCCTGTCCAGTGAGGATGGAGACTATCACAGCACTGCGAGATGCTATCATTACTAGCCACAAAACCCATTTCGAAATGACCGTTGTCATCCAGCGGAACAATCCGTTGCTCAGACTCACCCCTCACATGCCGGAGCAACTGTGGGACCCACAAGGTAGTTGATGAAGAGGATCTCTTGAGCAAAGTCAAAGTGACAGTTGCCTGGTCCTTTGCGAATAAGAAAGCCCCCCGGAGGGGAAATGCAGCAGCCATCCAACCACACCTGGACCATCTTTGCCTAGGCAAAAGCAGAAAACCAGGAATGGCACCCACTGACGAACTGACGGAGTTAGTATCAAGAGTATTAAAAGTGAACTCCCTCACCCACCACTCCACCTCCCAGCATGCTACCCAAAGGTTGAGCAGAGAGACGAGGCGGGAATGGCACAGAAAACCTTCTGCCAGGGGATCTGCCTCCTGTCTTTGTCCACCTGGAGGGTTCTGCGTTGGGCCTTACCCCTCGATAGGTGTCCTCAGGAGATTTGTTGTAGTTCCAGATGCGAAGCCCCGCAATATTTTCTACTTGGGTAAAATGGATGGTTACCAGGTGATCTTCTCCCGGGCAAAAGGGAATGAGCCACATGTGGTTATCTTCCATAGTGATGTTTTTTCCATCAATCAATCTAGGAGGAAGCACAGGAACTGGTTGGGGAGGGAATTTGGATACACACAGATTTATTGCAGAGAGATATATGCCATGCCACTTGCTCTACAGTTAATAGCATTTCAGCCTCTCTTCCGTTATGAATTTTTAGCTGCAAACCCTGGGAGCTGGGACTGTCTTTCCTGCCTGGAGGGGGTGTACCACCCTTCCTGTGCCATGGTCAGGCAGTCTCTGCTAGTTTTCAATATCAAGGTTCCTGGGAGCTGGAGATTTTATGAAGAACCATTATGGATAGCATCATCCTGAAATACTATCAGTAGCAGCCTATATCTGCCTTATACATAAGCTTCCAGTTTCTTGAATGATGCTCACTTATCTAAGGTCCTTGAATCGTCCACATACTCCACAAGATCATTGAGATCCTGAGGAGAAGCAGAAAGCTGATCCACAGAGAATGGGATTGCTTGGCCATCCTTTCCGATCACTTCAAGCCCTGTCAGTCCAAGGTAATGTGAATCTCCCCAAGAAGCGGTGAAATTCAGCAGCAGGCCTGAAAGGAGACAGAAGCAGCACAAGATCAGCCTCTGAGTAGACCTTAAATGTACTGCAAGGACGAGCTGTAGCACAAAAAGGAACTAGACAGTTTTGCTCCATTCCTTCCAGTGAAATGGATCCCAGTTATAAAAAAACGGTTGCCTTGGAGTTCTGCATCTTTACCTGTAATCCAGCCAGGGTCTATGAGGGGTTGGCAACTACAATAAATCTAAAACAATATTAATAGTAAGAATGAGAAAGCAAAGGTACTACCAATAGCGTTAGGCACCTTGGATGCAATCCCATATGAACGCCACCAGCATTGATAAAATCACTCTCAGTCGATAGCAATGGACAGCTCTGCTTGGAACAGCGTACATCCTGTGACAATACCTTTAAGCCCATTGAACCATATCTGTCTATCCCAGGTCCTTGGAAGGACCTGATGCTGTAGATGGACAGAAATGCCAAATCCAGTCTAAACATCTGGCTGACTGTGCAACCAACCATAATAATTATCAGGAGGAATCCAGTATCAGAGAAAAGCAGGGCTGAGCTACCTGAGGCATATATTTGTGTGCTAGGTTTTACGATTAAAAATATCAGAACAGTTAGCAATTAACAAAAACATGCAGAATGGGAAACTACAATATTTTCCATCCTAGCATTCACTCAGAAAAGGGCATCGTAAACAGGAAAGTCACTCAAAGGGCACTACAATCTGCAGCGGTTTCAGAGGGAACAGCATTCCAGGATGCTGATGTCATGCCAAGTCCTGGTGGTGTGAAACTTGAGGCTCTACAGTTTTTATCAAGCCACAAGATCTCCCCCCAAAACCTTAACAATTGGCCCAGTCTCTCTCTGATAGAGCACGCCTTGTTCCTCTGCTCTGCCAGCTGCATTGGCTGTCCATCCCAATTCAAGGTGCTGCTTTTGACCTTTAAAGCCATTCGTGGCAAAGGACTGCCAGCCCCATCAGGTCTGAGTCTCACAGGCTAAGGAATAATGTTTGGGGCGACCCAGGAGAGGGGCATCCGCCCTATGGCACATTTTCCCTCTGATGTGAGTGTATATGTAGCTATTGCAACCATTAGTCAATTGTTTTCCTTCTGTTAAAATATTGAACTTTTAATAAACAGCACATTGCGTGAAGAACCGGTCTACATAAAGCACCCTCCTTCAGAAGACAATGAAGATGGGAAGAGAGAACGTACATTTTCCAGAGTAGACTCCAGGTTCTCTGCTTGTCATGACCTCGGAGAGGGAATCTGACCCTGCAATTCTCTCCTCACTCTAAAAAAGTTTGGAAAATCAAGGGGCAAGTCAGAACAAAAATCAATTTCTTTTGATTGCAGTAGAAACATTCTGAGAAATATAGCAGAGTCCTTTAAAATTTAAGCAGTTGGAATAAAATATAAACATGTCAAGCAGTCAATTACAGAAAAGTATCCGAATGTCCACCAAGAGCTCTAACAGCGGCCCAATATCTAATTTTTTTCAACAAAGACCACCCTGTCCTTGAATGGCTGGGTGGACTGGACATTAACATTTGAACCACAGTAAGCCCATGTATTTGCCATATGCTAAATAAATGAACAGAAAAATGTTTCAATTAAGCACCAGAGTAGGACATTTTCAAAGCCCTCTTAAAGCCACTGCAGTTGTGCCCTCATCTTAATTCCCAGAGAAAGCCCACTTTCACAAGTGGGACTCTTACCAGCTTGTCTTCTGTCCTGGAACCCGCCTGAGTGAAGGGCCTCTCGTCCCCTTCTCCATCAGCTGTTCTTGGCCTCTTCAGCTCCTCCTCATAGCTGAAGCTGCACCTGCTTTCAATTTCGTCCTCGCAGGACTCATCGTAACAGTAAATGGCCTCGAGAATGTCCTCATCAGTTGTGAACAGGATGGTGTCTCCAAATTGTTCTGGACCTGAAACATTGTGAACTTTATGGTGACCATATCCACAAAATTAACCCTCTCCCTTCTTGGAAGTAAATATACAGACTCCTGCAATGAAGGAACTAATATCCAAAAATAAAAACTATCTTAAATCTGTATGAAGATATTGCCTTGAAGTCCGAAGCCTGTGTCTGCAATAAAGAAAAAAGGCTATAAGGAAAAAGTCAGGATGTCCTAAGCAAACTTGCCTGTCGGGTCTAGGACTAGTATATGCTTTGGCAGGATTTTATCAGCTAGTGGCAACTTCATTTGTTTTGACTTATATCTGGCCCTGGCTTCCTCTATGAGTGGACATAACCACAGAGCATCCAAAGTTCTTATACCAGGCAACCTTCAATACAAAAGCCAAACAATGGAATACCAGACAAACTAAACCAGAATGGCTGAACAAGATTGTTCTCCCAGCTTACTCTTGGCTTTAATGAAAAGTTGTCTTGTACGATTAACAGAGGCAAGAGGAAAGGCTGGCTAGTTGGATGACCAGGGTCAAGATCCAGCAGCCATTGGCTCTCCTCCTTTGAAAAGCCAAGTTTAAAATCAGAGACAGTCTGCCCCTTACCTCCAGCAAGTGTCCCTGAAGCCTTGGCAATTTCTCCTTGGAAAATGCAGCATCCATCCAGGAGAATGGAGAGGTCCTTCACCCCCCGAAAGGAATGGATGCGGGACTTGTTGTAATTCCAGATGCGAATCATGGCTACCTCACATGGCTTTGCAAAGTCCAGGCAAACACAGTGTGATTTTCCTGGAGTGAAGGGAGCCAGCCAGAGGTGCATGTCATCCTGTGTCCGGTTCACTCCATCCAGCAGATTAGTTACTATCCGGGGGTCTTTGCCATACGCAGGCAAGACGTTGATATCAGGTGGGTTGGCAGTGATTTTTACAATCTGGATGGGCTCACCTTTTGAGCTAAACAGCTCAAGTCCATTCAGACCAACATAGTGTCTGTCTCCCCAGGTTGACCTGATATCAATTTTTAAGTGCTGACCATGAGGTAAGATGGGGATTTTAAATTCGCTCTCATCTTCTAGGTCTAAGTAGCTGTTGGCCGCCTTCTGCACTGGCAGCCCCCGTGCCTGGTCCTTTGTGCTGAGCTTCTGATCTTCTTGCCGGCTAATTTTCTGCTGCTGGAGAAACTCATCAAAAATGTCACCTTGGAAATCCATGTTAGAGATTCGACCACGATGCAAACGATTGAATTTCAATAATGAATTCCAAGATTCCTGCAGCAGGTACTCCTGAGAAGTGCCCCACTTGGCTCTTGAGGGCCTTGTGCTGCCTTTGGCTGGGAAGAGCTCCTCTGAAAGGGAGAAATTAGTCTCAGATGATGAAGGGGAGGCATCTTTTTTTAAAAAAACATACAAATAAAATGCGAGCAGCAAGTAGCCTGTAATACTTTCTGAGTTCTTCAATTCAACACAATATTCAAAGAACTCAGGAAGGTCAGATTCTGCTCAAAATGTGGGTAACCAGACAATCCCTAGATTTTGACTGGTGGACATCAGCTCTTACCTTTGTCAAGGGAAGCTTTCTCTGTGTAGAAGGGGTGGCTGAATTCTTCCTGCTCTCTGTCTTTCAGATCTTGATCAGGGCGAAGTAACTCAGTTGGACCACTGTGTTTATAAAGAAGTGGTTTCAAGAAATCCAGGTCAGGAATGGACTCCTGGTTCTCGTCTGACGGTCTCTTGCCTGCCTCTGGGGCCTCACTGCTGGTTTGCTGTTCCACAGTTGGAGAGAGATGGGGACTCCCATCAGGTGTTCCTAGACAGCCTCTCTTGATGCTCTCTGAAGGCAGCTGGACTTGTAATCCCAAAGGAGGCAGTTTTTGCTTCCCACAGCTAAGCTGCATCTCCCCCTTTGCCTCAGGAGAAGTAAAAGTGGCTGATGGAGAATATTCTTCCGTTTTCTCCCTCAGGGAACTGTCATCCTCAGGGGAGACGCACCTTGCAGTCTCCCATGAGATGAGGCTGCTGATCTTTGGGTTGGGTTGGAGATCAGAATCACCAGTTCCCTCTTTTTCCTCAGGGCAGTTTTCTTTTATGGAAAGCTCCCAATTGAACGGCAGCAGCTTGTCAAGCTCCTCTCTTGGATCTGCAGAAGCCCAATTCTTGTCTATCTTTCCCTTTGGAGGAAGGGGAAGGTCCGTTGGGAGATCAATGGAGGTGTAGCCATTGCCATCAGGATCATGAGCCAAGCAGCCCTTCTGCAGCTCCCCAGCAAAGATTAGACACCCATCAACATATACAATAATATTTCTGGCTCCAATATTCAGGTCCTGGTGAGACAAAGAAAGATGTCCTGATGAGCAAGCAAAAGCCAACCTTCCTGAAAACCTCCAGATCTAATGCACATTCTTCTAACTGGCAGAAAACCGAAAAGGCCCCTGCTGAGATCTGAGATCTCAATATACAGAAGACTTGGGTTGAAAGATGGAGAGAGATCTTCCTTCAAGTGTTCAGCTGGCTTTGAGTTTGGGATGGATCCTGGAAGACTGGGCAGCATAGTTAAGTCTCATTATAGCCTTCTGCAGTGGGGCAGCCTTCCTGTTTCCCCTGTTGTCACCCAAAGCTCCTCATCCAAGTGCTTTGCTCAGAAAAGGAGAATGACAGAAAAAAGTAAAAGGGTGGACCCATCCACTTTTGGCTCTGCCCCAGCTGGCACGGATCACTCTGAGCAGGAACAAGGTGATTTGTTTTGGGGGTTGCATGTAAGAATCAGCCTCAACCTGACTAGCATAGCCTTTGCTCCTAATATGACTGAGCGGGGAATCCTCTTTGGGTTGAATATAGTTTAGGATGGCACGCTAGACTGTGCTTGGTGACAGATGGTTGGATTTCCCCCACAAAGCATTGCATTTTGGTTGAGGAAATGACTTCCCTCCCTTTTTTGGTGTTCCATTGACCTTCCCTGAGTTTCTGGAGAACAGGGCCTCCCACTCACTGCCCAAGAGAAGATCTCTCTGGAGTCATCAGCCCCAAAGAGGCAAGACTGAGCTCAAGAAGTCAAATGGGGTGCTTCTAATTCAGATGCCATTTGAAAACCCTGGAAGGCTACATGACAATTCCATGAGCAGATTGCTTGAGGCAAAGGTGTACACATAAGGATAAAAATGCATAGCTGAGAACGAGTCATAAAGGATCAGGATTTGCTGCTCTCTAATACAGCTCGTTAAATCCTCTTTGCCACGCTAGCTGGAGCCAAAGCAAACAAAGCCGCTCTCTCTACAGAATATCGCAGACTCAGGGCAGCAGAACTTGGATTTGGTTATTTTTGTAAAGTAACCCTGTTCCCTCCACCAATAGGCACAGCATGTCAACAGTGGCACTCTTGGGCTGGCTGGAGTTCCCAAACAGAAAGGGAAGCCTTCTAAAAGAGCGGCGGGGCGGGGGGGCAGGGGGCGGGGGCTCAGTGGCCTCTGGATGCAGGCTGGCAGGAGGGCAGCACCTTCAAAGAAAAATATTCCGTTGCCAAACATTTCCACCAGCAACGTAACATTTCAATCTTATTTTTAAAATAGTTTTATTTTAACCTAATGTTAGAATTAACTCAAATAAAAGTTAACGCAGTTGTGGCTGCTTTGCCCCCTCCCTTTTCCTTCCCCTCTTAGCTCCTACTAAGTATGAAAAAGCAAAGCTCTGACATAAGAGACTAGAGCGGTCACTTACACCACGAACGGTCGAGCTGTAATTCCAGATCCTGATTCTGGATAGGCCAAAGTCTCCTGAGAGGCTGGGGTTTCGGACAATGAAGTACAGCTGCACCGGAGGCTGGAAGAGGCATGACCAGGGGAGAAGCTCTCTGGGAACCTACAACACAAGGAAGCTGATGGTTGGCCCGTCACCCCGGAGCAAAGCACAGCAGTGGCTTTGGGACTCCAGAAAGAAGCCAGCAAGAGGAAGAGCTGTGTGCTCCTTCTGGCTTGCTCTGTCACTGAGCAAGCAGAGGCTGCTTGAAAGTGTGAGGCCAGTTCCAAGGCTGACCTGCTCAGCCTAATCCGCTTTAGTGCTAGTAAGAATGGCAAGGGGCTCCCAGTGAGGATTAGCAGGGGCTGGCATTTCTTATCATCTCCTTTCTCCTAAGGAAGGAATCAGTTCGCCTAGTCTCACCACAGTAAAACATGCCAGTTCAAAATTTTATTATACCTTTTTATCATACAATTACAACTCTGTAAGTGAGAAGATATGTTGTTTCTGTCTCTCTCTATTTAGTGCAGTTCTTATGCTCGTTATTAAAACTGACTGCTGAGCTGTCAGCTGCTGTGCAGGCCCTGGAACTTGACTGAGGTAAATGGAGTAGGCTTGTTCTTTGCAGCAGCTAGCAAAGCTTTAGTTCCAAAGCAACCATGGCCGTCACAGCCCTGATCCACTACCTGAGCAGAAGAAACAATACCCGACATCCCACCAAGGGGTGGAAAGCTGTGCAAGAACCCAGGAACACTTTTGTATAGCTCCAACTTGGACGCTAGCTGTTTTAGAAATAAACAACCTCTGGGGCAGATTCACTTGGTTGAGATGGATGGCCATAGAAATTAAATAAATAAACCTGTGTGCAAAATTTTGTCTGCCGTTCCTTGAAAAGCAACCATGGGAAGCTTACATTTGTGCTTCGGTTAACTAAGCAGCTCAGCTCTCCAGGTGGATCCGCATGTCGGATGTCCACATCGTGAGGAGACACAAATACTCTCTCAAAATTCAAATCAAAGAACTCCACTTCTGTCAGACCCACACGGGACACGTCTCCCCAGTTGGAGAGGATCTCTACAGTAATATAGATGGCATCCCGGACCTCCGTTTCCAATCCCACATGGCCCTGAAAAGAAAAATTTGGGACGTCACTGGAGACCCTGATCTCAAACTGACCTGAACGGGACATTAACGACGGTGCCCAAGAGACCCGGAGGGGCCCAGACGGCTCCCGCCTGGCTTCCTGGAAGTGGGTTGGGCCCATGGCTCAAGCAAACCTTCCCCTTCGGTCCAGCACCAGGCATGGAGCATCAGCATCCCAAGCCCACATTTTTGCTTTCACAGGATGTGCCGGAAGGTGCTTTTTTCAGAAGAAAGCTGCCTGGCGTTCACACTCTCTTCAGGACCATCCAACCCATTCTGACTGTTGCTAAGTAACACAATTGGGATGAAGATGAGGAAAGTGCTGTTCAAAAATCTGACTTGCTTCCTACCAGAACAGGAAGCTGTAGCTGTCCAAAGCCCAAAGCTGAAGGGCCACGGCAGACGGACAAAGTCTCGGTCTTTTGGAGAGCTTTGAGAAGTTTCTTTTGCTGCCTAAACATTGAAGAGATCAGAGGCAAACAAGCAGCCAATCAGTGCTTTTTCCTTTGGACCCAGAAGGGCCATTGATTTGAACTCATTCAGATGCTCGGAAGCTCTCAAGACAAGGAGGGGAAGGAGGAGGGTGAGGATGAGGTAGCAGTGCTGGGAACAATCCAGCCCTGCTTTTCTTGTTAAATAGGGCTCAAGCCTTAATGGACCATCAGCAACTTGAGCAAATATGTCCCCGTTCGTTTTTTGATCAAGAATACGGGTGCAAGCTTGCAAAATATTGAATGTTATACACCAAGAACCAGAAAGCTGAAACTCTGTTCCTAGTATTGCTCAGAGCACAAGGTTCACACTTCATTAGGGAAATATTGACATTGTCTAAAATTTTTATAAAGCTCAGTCCCCGAATCGCCTTTTGCTCCTCCCATGCCCCAGCCTCCACAGACACCCTTTGCAGACGAAGATGCGTGCGGTCATCTTGCCTTCCGGATGCCCTAGTAACCAGAGGCAGCGGAGAGCAGGACTAGCAAAGGAGCCCATTAGACATCTCCATGCAGAGATACACTCATCTTGTACCTAGGAACAGACTCAAAGGATTCAAAACTGCCACCTGTTTTCCAGAAGTCCAATCTGTTCCAGAGCTGTAGAGACAACTCCATCCTCCTGCTGTTTTGGAGGAAGGCCCACTGTTGCAGAACCGGAAGCCAGCAGTGACTGTACAGAAGGGAAATAAGAACAAACTCACAAGACAGCTTCAGTCTCCAGACAATGGAGCTGGGGATTGGTCTGAATTGGGAGGTCAGGCTATGTGCAAAACTTCCACACCCTATTCAAGCAATCAACATGCCTCACCAAAGACTCTTGGCAGAGAATATTTTACCTGTCTTTCATTTCACTAACCACAATTAGCAGCTAGATGATTCTAGACAGCGATTCTACAAATACCAGCATGGCAATTTTTAGTAAGCTTCTGCCAGGCCACACAAGAATTGATTGCTTGTACATACAGGAGCTTCCTTTTCAGGAATGGAAAAGATTCACAATTCAGCCTTACCTCCAGGCAAACACGAGGAGGGACTTCTCCTCTTTAAAAGTTACTAAACCACTGCCTTCCTGTCACTAACAGCTTCTAAAAAATGTGACTGAAGTAAAACCAGCAAGTAAGTGAATGGGTATTCTGTTATTTAAGAGAGATTTCTCTGGTTTCGATCCTTACAGATCAAGTTTCCACTGGTCAAAACATTAAATAATAGACTACAAAAAAGAGACAGGAGAACTCTTCTTAAGAAAACTAGTCTCTATTTCATTGTCTGCAAAAAAGAAAAAAATTCTAGGAATCCAAGGAAAATAAAACCTTTGTTTAACATTGCACAGAGCACACCGTCCATTTCAAGGCAAATGGTTGCAAAGCAGCATTTTGGAAGAACATCCTGATCCTGTCAAATCCCTCTGGACAGTGGCCAAATTGTCAGCTTCCATGGCAGAGGTCAGGTGGAGCAAGGAAATCCAGCCACCTGCTGTGGCTGTCTCTGAATAAGACAGGTCCCCCGTGCCACTCACCTCTGCAGAAACCTCCAGTTGCCGACAGAGCACCTCCTTTTGTAGCGTCTCATTTTCTGCTTGCATAGCTTTTAGGACAACGGAAGCAGCGTGTGCTGGATCCTTCTTCTCGCACACATTTTTGCGAACAGCTGAGAGTGGTCTTTCTGATCGGCTTATTGGTCCTGACATTCAAAAGAAGCAGAAAATAATTTTTTGACCCTTTAGAGGGAAGCAAGTTGGGCCTCAAACATCCCCATGCTAAGATTCTTGAGTCACAGAATGGAAACTCCTAGACAGTATAGAAACTAACAAGAGCAAAACTTAGTGGCAGCCCGAACGTATGTCAGAGGAAAAATGCAGTCTTCTGGAAAAGAGGGGGTACCTGGCTCCAGCCAAGACTAACAAGACCCCACCAAGGGAAAAGGTGTGGCAACTGACGATCATAGAATAAGCGCGATCTGATGATTCTGGGCAACAATATTTCAAGAGCAGCAGCAGAATTATGGTGGAGAATGTTAAGTGTTCAACAAGCTGTAGTGGACAATTGTAGAAAGGTTGCATGTGGGAACATTACTAAAGGAGCATTTAAGGTGATGTGAAAAACAGAATGAATAAGAAATATTTCAGTGATGTTGATGCTGAACTATGTTTATGCACCAAGAAAAATAAGGAGACGGGCAAACGAATGGAAGAAACAGCAGAAGTTAAAATGCTAATTAACAGGAAGAAAATTGAGTAAAGTGGAACATTTGGCTGGCCAAAGGCAGATTCTCAAACTAATGTTCCTAAACGCAGCTACCACCCTGAGGGCTGGCATCGACATCTAAGAAAACCTGCCATCCCAATCCAGAGAATTACACTGGGCACAATCCTCTCCTTCTCTCCAGGTGTTTTCCTAACCAAGGCGGTCTCCAGGGGCAGCCAGCATCAGAAAACTAATATGTCAACACCCAGAATTATTCTGAGCATGGGCTTGTTCAGAGAAGAGAAATGACAGGCACATTTCTGCTGCCCTTTCACCACTGTGGCTTCTGTATGCCTGTCATGCTCTTAAGGGGGGCACTTAGAAACAAACTCTCTCTTACTGGAGGCGTTTCCTTCCTGTTCTTCCAGGTACCAACGACCTGCAGCTGCCGGACTCATGGGCTTGATGGGCAGGTAGGTTTCAGCAGTGCCCTTCCTTTTTGCAGAGAGACTTTGCTCCTTCTTAACACCTGCAGAAAGAGCAGACACTAGAACCAGGAACTTATTCTGAAGGCATCCAGCACAGCCTTCACAGCATATTTTAGACCGGGGACTGTCTTTAAATGCAACTGAACAAAAGATAAGGAAAGCACCATCTCACGAATTAAGAGACTCAAAGACCATCTCTATCCTCGTTTACCAAGCCACATAAAGGACCCTTTCGTTTGAGGATTGCTTCAAGGCCAAGCCAGCCAATCACTCTTTGATTCTGAAGATAAAAAACAATCAGCGCAGTATTGGATTTATCCAGCAAATTTTTAAAATACTTTTTAGTGAAGATTTATTAACAATGGTAAAAGACAATATACCCAAAGCTTGCTCGCTCTCAAAAAAAGAAAGAATAAACAAAGGGAGAATAAAAAATGTAAAGGACACAAGAACAAATAAGGAGAAAAATACTTAAAGAAGTGACTTCTAATCGTCACCACAAAGAGGACTAAGTTAGTAATTCTCCACCCCGTTATAAGTGAACCTACCTGGGCAGGTTGGCTTGAACTCCAACACAAGAGGCTCAGCGGCCGGAGCAGAGCCTGCGCCAGGCAGAGGGGAGAGCACTGCTTTGGCAAGGAGCGGCTCAGCGGCCCCTCCCAGACATTCAGTGGGTTCTTTCTCCTCAGGGACTTCAGTGGGAACCTCCTCCTCAATGGAGTCAGAATCCTCGGAACATTCCCCTTTCACCTCGTTTTGGCTCTTGCCAAACTCCAAGCTTTGCCGGAGTTCCTAGCACAAAGAGAAGGAGCTCAAACGTCATATAATGGCTCGGCAGATTTCAGCTCCAACATCTCCAGATATTACTGAAGGAAAACTTAGGAGGGCCAGTGTCAATCAACGCAGATGTAGACAACTCAAATTATTTTGTCTTAACTTATTTGAACAGGATTTCTTCTGCTCTGAAGAAAACATCTGATTTAAAATAAAATCTGGATTTAAATATAAATGAATGAAATTTGTATTGATAGTTACTTCAAACTTAATAATTGCCTATTATCAAATGAACTGAGAAAAACACACAGATATCAAATAGTTTGGTTGCAATCTCATGTATAAAAAATTAAAAGGAGAAACAATACAAAATCTTGTGATGAGGACGGCTGTAAAGAGGTAGCTTTCTTACTTTGAAATATTAGAACCCCAAAACTTCTCATACCCTCACTTAACTATAGCTAAGATACAGGAGATGTGACAATGACTGCCAACTAGAACAGGATAGGGAGGTTGCTTAAGGTTGTTATCCGTGATGGCTACTTAAACCCACCCAGATGAAAATCTGAATGCCAATGGTTGGGCTGGAGAGCCAGATGCTTGAGAAAATATGCCTTTGATCTGACCTGCAAGATTCCCTTGATATCCTGCTCTCTCTTTCTGGCATGGCTTTGAAAGCAACGAGAAGCAAGGCTATTTTGCCCAAGATTATTTTCTAGGAGGAAGGAAATAATGCTTCCAAATGCCTGTGCTGGTGATTCATCTTTAATAAATAGCAGATTTGAGCCAACAGATCTATTTACCTGGAAAGTACCATTCTCTTCACAGTCAGTTGTCTGCAGATCTAAACTTTCCTCAGATTCAAAATCCTCGGAATACTCACAAGGGGGAGCAATGCAAAGCCTAGATCCAGTTTCTGTCTTGATCTGCACGGCTTTCTGAAAAATTAAGAAAAATCAGTACAGTATTACACTATTACAGCCTTGAGAAATGTTGCTTTTGGAACTGTAGCCGCCACAAAACTCAGGAACTCTTATAATCAGACTTGATCCAGACTGGCTCCACAATTCTATTCTTGTTTTGGGATCATCTTTATGTCTTCCAACAGATATTTGTTCTCAGTGTTTCTCTCTTACATCTCTGTCTATGATTGGATCTCTAACCTTAAGGGTCTTACAATGCCCTATTAACAACCTGAAGAATGCTGCATGCTTGACACATCATTTATTTATATTTCCTGCATGCTGCTATAATCCAAAAAGATGCCAGGCTGGGAACTCTAGTGCTCCCTTCTCTTTTTTATACCTGGTGCCATTCCCGACGTTGGATTTTACTAGGTGCACTTTGGGTGCTCCTCTCTCGCTGTTCTTCTTGTTTTAACAGGTCTTTGGTACTCACAGCTGAAAGGAAATGGGAAGCAGTATGAGTAAACGGATCAAAGTTCAGACACCCTGCATAGCGGAGGAATTTAGTTTATTTATTAGCATGAATTCTATGCTGCCCCAATTAGAGACTCTGGTCAATAAACCATTTTCGAGTTGCCAGGATGGGTCCTTTGAACTTCAGCATAGACCTTTGGGACTGTATGGCTCATATGCTGCACTACATTATCAGAATTATTCTGCTGCTTCTTCCTCCTACCTCCTAAGCCGTCTTCCAAGCAGGGGAGCTGTGAAAACTGTCACAGAGGGAAAAAAGCCTCGGTCTGACAGCTTATGTCAACTTTCACAATTCACACAGCTGGTATCACTACCAGGAAACTCATGACTGAAAATGGAAACTGAAACAAGTTAAGGAAAGGGATTTACTGAAAGCGCAGAAAAAGTTCACCCCAACTGGTTCATGGCTTATGTCGGCCCTTCCATACTTAATTAAAATCCTCTGCGCTCAAAAAAATAGACGTTTTCTCAGATCAGATGCTACGTGTCAAATTTCTTATTTACTGTATAAAACTTCTATTTTTCATGTTCGAAAAATCCCAGACGGGGGAACCTCAACCAGAGCCGGCGCTGATCTCTGGGTGAGCTTCTCCCCTTCGGTGGAACCTCCGGATGGTCGCGACCGGCAAGGAACTCACGGTTCGCTCTGGGGGTTCGCGCGCCGCCGCTCCCGAGAAGGGCCGGAGGGCTGACTTTGCGGCCGCGGCTCGCCTCCGAGTTGGCACCGTTCACGTACAAAGTGAAGCCCTGCTCCAGCTGCTTCAGCCGGAGCTGCAGAGGGTCCCTCCTCTCCAGGGCCTTCAGGATCCTGGAACCGAAAACACGGGCTGTTCCTGGCGACGGGCGGGCGGTCCGGCCCTCCCCGGCCCTCCCGCAGGCAGGTGGCCCACCTGTTTCTCTGCTGCAGCAGCACCAAGTGCTCGTCGTGCTTCTCGTCGAAGTCGGTCACCATGGCCTCGGGTTACGCGCGCCTGAGGAGCGCCTTCCGAACCCCGTCAGCTACCTCGAGGCCCGATCCCTGCGGTCCTCCGGCGACACAGGCAGCTGGGTGGCCGAGTCCGCGAGAACACCTTCCCGTCCCCAACCGGGCCGCCGGGCCCAGCCAGGCGCGCCGAAGCTACCCCAGCGCCAGGCCCGCCGCCGCCTGTTGAGCCGTTGCCTGGGTTACCGCGGTGGTTCGGGCGTCGTGCGCCGAGGCGTCACTTCCTGCGCGCCGCCGCTCATCGGGCGCCCGGCAGCCATGGAGGCGCTGTGGGCTGCGCTGGACGAGGTGGCCCTGGAGGGGCTGGACGGCGTCACCCCCGGCGCGCTCTGGGACCGGCTGGCGGGCCGCGTCCCGCCCTTCCCGCTACCCCTGGAGCCGGGCGCCCGGCAGCTGCTGTGGGCCACGCTGGCTGCGCAGGCCGAGCTCCGCTTCCATCTGCTGCCCCAGCCGCGCCCGCCGCTGCGCCTCTTCGACCGGTGAGGCCTGTCCGGAGGGCCGGCGGGGGAGCGATTGCGGGCGCCGCAGTTGGCTCAGCCGGGGTGGGGGTCGCGGTGCTGAGCGTTCCGGCTTTCCCTTTCCTCCAACGGACTGGGGGGAATCGCGGGTCGGAGCAGTTTGGCCAAAAAGGTTTTTGTTCGTTTCCAGATATGAGGAAATCGATCTTGAGACGGGAATTCTGGAGACCAAGCGGGATCCCGTTCCATTAAGCGACATTTACCCGGTGCATATGATTTTGGACGAGGACGTCCAGGGCTCCTGCCAGTATTTGAAAGAGAGGCTGGACATTACTGATCGGATCCGGACCAAAGACATGCAGCCCTGCTGCACCTACGTGGAGGCTTATGAGAAGTGAGTGAGTTTTGATTGGTGCGGCCCTCTGCTTTTTAATACCCACGTGCAGTAAACCGTGCCCCGATCAAGGAGCGCCAAACTATCTAACAGTAAACAGCCCAACCAAGGTATCACCAAAACCATTCCCAGCAACGTTTGAAAGGGCAAGCCACTAAAATATAAAATGTGGACAAACTGCTCTTCCTGCTAGAACTAATGTTACCCAGTTTGGGCAATGAAATGTCTGTAAGAAAAGAACCCAGCTCAAAAAGCACCAAGGACCCCACGTTTATCTCTGGAGGGAGCTTATTCCAAAGGGCAGGAATAACTGGATGCCACCAAATTGTATTCTTTTAATGTACGGAACATGACATGTACCCATTCAGCTGGATTGAATTGGACAGGCATAGGCAAATGAAGAGAAGTAATTCTTCAGGTAGCCATGGGGGGCTTTAAAGGTGTGGTCACCAGAAGAAAAATAACAGTTGCCCATTAATCGATGAGCTGTGGGAGAAATTGTTATTGCTTTGTGCGCTTCTGGCTGACATGGTCTACCTACAATTTAGTTAGCTGGCAACAATATTGCTGGAGCACAGAAAGTGCTGTCTTTCTTTTGGGGATTCTCAAAGTGACTCTTCTTTTTACTTTGCAGTTGGGGAGAAAGGCTGGTCCTTGTTGCCTCGCAGGTACTGCGCCATAGGGCACTAATAGGTTGGGAAGGGGATCCAGACTTAAAGCTTCCTGACTTTTCCTACTGCATTTTGGAGCGATTAGGACGGGCTCGCTGGCAAGGAGAGCTCCAAAAAGACCTCAGTGTGGCTTTTAAGTAAGTTGTAAGTGTTGGCTTATGTAATAATGCCAGAAAGGAAGGTTCCGTGCACAGATACTCCCACAGATAACAACTTGGTTTGCTACTGACATATTTTATAAGCTAATAATGACTGCAACTTCTCTGTTAGTCAGGAGGATGCATCCCTTCAGAGGGAAGCATAAAATACTGCTATAACAATGGGATAACGTTATCCCAGAGAATTTCTTTGCACTGAGCCAAGCTTCAGTTTCATTGTAGGTACAAAACCTTTGAGGCAAGGGACCATCACCTTTGTTGGCTTAGCAATTATCACCTTAAGACTTAGGCTCATTTAAGAAATTTAGTTGATGCAGAAATGTAGGTTCTTGTTTGCCGCCTTCTCATTTTTGTTAAAAAAAAAAGGGGGGGAGGTTAGCTGTTGTGCCATCTGTATGTTCCAAACATGATGGAGGCTAATCTTTTATAGGGTGGATGCTGGAAAGCTTCACTATCATCGAAAAGTCCTGATCCAAAATGGGCTGATCTCAATGCAGTCCCATGTGATTAGGTTGCCCTCAGGGATCCAACAGCACTCCATTCTTCTGCTTCTCAGCCGCTTTCATATTGACAGGTATGCGCTTGGCAGGTTCATACTTGAGCTTTCATTTGTGCTCCTTTCAAGCGGTTGAGCATGTTTGAAAGCCCCAAATGTCACTATTCCCACTCTGCCTCTAATCATATTAGGTTTTATCACTTTTGGTTTGCTTTTTTGATCTGAGTTTCCTTTTCTTCTGCATTTTGGAGACAGGGGACTAATCTCTGCCTCTGATGACTAACTGATTGCCTAAGAGAGATACTTCAAGAAAGAGAAGGCCTCTTTCATTACAGAAATTTGCTCATTGGGGTCTCGGAAATTAGCAGAGGGCCAGGAGTCTTGGTAGCAGTCAGTTTTTGCAAGGTGTGAGTTTCCTTATGAGAGCAGACAAGACAGTGGCAATATAGCATTTGTTCATTGATGCATCTTGGGTTTTAGGAGGAGCAAATACGATATTCTTATGGAGAAGCTCTCTGGCATGCTGAGTAGCCGGCCAGGTCAGATGGAAACCCTGGGCAACATAAAGGAAGAGCTGGTAAGATTGGGGGCTTTTGAAATCAAAGACTGCATGTCAGTGCTTGGATATCTGTTGGCAGCATCTGCCCCTTCAATGGGCAGAATCTTCAGACCTGGCACCTGTTCTTCAGAGTGTCACAAGCATTACAAATGTCTATCTTTTGAGACCACATGGACCCTGGGGATTTTCTGCAGCTGTGACAAAAGCTGAGGTGGAGGTTCAGCTATAGGATCTCCAAGAGCGCCCTTATTTTATTTCTGTACAGGCTCCCTGCCTGAGAATCCACATGTTTGTTTCTGCTCTTTCCGCTTTTCCCCAAAAGTCTCCTATCCTGTTGCCAAACCTGGGAAGTTATGGGCACAAAAGAATTCAAGCCCCATTAGGGTCTAAGCGGTTGTTGAATTCTTGCTGTTGCTAGGCTCTTGGTAGCCAACTCAAACTGAAAGCAAGATTCCCATCTTTAATACAAGATAACGAAAAAAATAAGGTTATAGGTATCCTAGCAAGTAGGTTCCTTTTATTTTACAACCCAGTATATCTTTTAGTCTATTAGAGCAGGTTTTCTGTTCTATCCGGTGAACTGGCAAACTTGCGGCTGTCTTCCTGAATAACCAAGGTGGCTGTTTTTCATGTGAACTTCCATGAATCTCTGAATAGGCAATGGTGAGAAAGTGTGTGTGTGTTGGGGGTGGGGAGGCTGTCCAGGTTTGCCCTCCCTTCTTTATTGGCTCCTTCCACGTGAACTGGATGAACGGGAGCTCATCGCTTGGGAGCACTTTCCGAGCCCTGGATGCCAATGCCACCTTTTTGTTGGCACAAAGCAGGACCTTCTCAAAGCAGATGGTATCTTTGCCTCGGGAGCCAAATAGAGACTATTCTGCCTTGCTTTTCACTCAATTGTTATTAGTGCAGCGTTGTAATAACATACTTGGAGGGGTGTTTTAGAATAGCTGCCGGTAAATTAAAGTTACTTTCATTGGAATGGTGAGAGAGCATAAATCGGAAATATATCAGGAACACAAAAATAGCATTAACTTTTCCTTTACTTTGTTCCAAAATGCATGAATGTGGGAAAAACCATACTTTGACTGTGTCTCAAGTTAACTCATACTGAGCAGGTGGGGAAACTTGGCTAATTGGGAAAAATACACGTTTGCTTCCCATGCCGCCCTCCTCTGGCTGCTGTACAGGGTCTGTGTGAAAAAACCTTTAAGCGCCTCTACCAGTACATGCTGAATGCCAACTTGGGCAAGATAGTCTCTGTTCCGCTGCGGGACGTGTGTTCTGACGGGAGGCCTTTCAAGACAAAGAAGGGTAAGCGAGGGGAAAGTCGCGTGGAGGTCGCCCAGGAAGAAAGGGGAGCGGGGACTTGTGGTTTTCCTGAGGACTCAGATCTGCCCAGACGTTAAAGTGATCGCAGGGTTAAAAGAAGTGCATGGACAGGAGTCTCCCCGCCCCCAGTTACCTCCCTGGCATTGAACTGGGCTCACTGGGGCCTCTGGGAGATGCTGAGAACGGGAGCAAGTGTGTGAGGCTGGGGGGGGGCAGGACTGGGTTTCTTTGGCAGTGCCATCCAGCAAGGATTAAATTGGGCTTCAATACTGCGTCTTCGATGCCAGGATTGGGGAGACTATGCAGGCTGTCTCCAGCCATTGCACAATCCTTTTGGGTTTATTCATTCTCAGGAACTCAAGTCATGGTCCGTTGTTTAAAGCTAGTGAAGGAATATCAGAAGAAGGTGGCTGACTTCCACGACGATGACGATGAAGAAATGATTGCCAAAACCGTGCAGCCTGTGGACATTGTGTATGAAAAGGACATGCTGGCACAAGCATATGAGCTGAGTGGGTATTGTCTGGGTTGCTTTTGCTGTGGCTTTCAGCTGATGCCATTTGGTTGCAGGGTAAAAACAGCTCGTTTGGCCATTGTGGCAGAGGGACAACTTAGTACTCATGAAGTCTAGCCTTGCTTAATTTTTCAGTGCAATTTGAATTTGGATTTTCAAAATGGAACAGATTTTTATTTACTTCTTTATTTGTTGGGTTTGTAAGCCAGCCAGTTCTTGGCAGTACACAATGTAACTTCACAGTAGCCTAAGTCAAATAATATGTGAAGTTCTCTGCTTATCTAATAAGGTTCATGAACACGGGGGAAATCAGACTGTGACATGAGTTTGGCACTTACTACCTCCAGCCTTGTTAACCTGTAGGGTTGTTTCTGTTCTACCCCCTGAATTAGTCACAGACCCTTCTTTCTAGCTGAAATATTTAACCCCAGACCCCAAATGGGATAGAGATTTTGCAACATGACTCCTCAGATCTCTTGACTCTCACAGAGACTGTACTGAGCAGTCTACCAGCCCACCCTCTGGGTTTCTTCTGAGCTTCAAGGGCCAATCTTCAGCAGAGCAGGGCTGATGCTCCAGGAGGACATTCCTGG